GTTCTGTTTGACAAATATATTCCTCTTTTTAGTTAATGTTGGCTGGTTCCTTGTTGTTTCTTTGCTCCTTATGTGTGCTTTCCCTGATGTCTTCTTGTTTTTGGTTTTCTGTGTTTTGTTTTTTTGTTTTTTGGACTTGGCCTCTGTTGCCTTACGGATCAGCATAAAATCAGCGAAAACTCATCTCTGCCTCCTTCCGTCTCTGGATTTGGGTCCTCTAAAACCTTCACTAAACCTGACAATATTGGTTTTATCTGATGCCTGTGTGCTCTTCATTCTAATGCCACCCTGGGTAACTTCCCGTATGATCCGTGTAAAAAAATCGCACTGCTTAAAATTTAAATTAGTACTGGAACAAATAGAGCTACCATCCTGTAACTTTTAGATGTATCACTTCTCTAAAGTACCTGAATCTAAAGGCTCATTTCCCTCATTTAGCTCAGCAGAGGCGTGGTAACGAGCCACTCATTTAATTCAGGTGTTTTAAAAATGGGGTGCATCAAAAAGGTGCAGGATAGTAGCTGTTGAGGACTGGAATTGAGCACCCCTGCTCTAAAACATACCTTCAGCTGAAAGAGCAACCCACTTGAAGCAGTTATTATACCAAAACTATATAAAAAATTTTTTTTTTTTTGACATTTTACATTCAAGATAAAAAAAAAAAACCTTTTCTTTTCTTCTCTTTTTTTTTTTTTCTTTTAGGGTCCTTTCTTGCTAATATAGCTCTAGGAATAGGTGTCCAAGACCTAGATGATAGCCCCACAGCTTTGCTTTCACAAGCAGACCATTATGATATGGTTGTATATTAAACTTTATTAAGAATAGTTTATGTCAGGGGTCGGCAACCCTCGGCTCCGGAGCCTTTAGCGTGCCCCTTGCGGCTCCCTGGAGCTTTGTCAAAAATGTATGAAGTTTTTTTTTGTTTTTTTTATTGTTTTAATATGGTGTTCAGGATGTCAAACAAACATTAATGATTTTTTGAATGCTTTTAAAATTTGTATGATAAATAAATTTAAACAATTGTATAAGATTTTACTACATAAACTTTCGTTAATAAAATCGTACATAATCGACACCAAGATGGAAAGAGAGGTGAGAAAGAAAGAGGGTATAAGAAATATGGGGAGAGATGGAGACAGGAAAGAGTGCATTAAAAGGGAGAAAATAAAACAGCAAAAATAGACAAAACAATTGTGCTGTTAAAAAATAAAGCCTCCTAGAATATACAGCTTTCTAGCTGACAATTGAAAGATACAAATCAAATCTATCTGATACTTGGAACTATTTATACATTCATTCACACACTAGAAGTTAGCTTCCATACCTGTGTGAGATTAGAGGAACACAAAACAGAGAACATAACAGACAAGCAAAGTAAACATAAAAAAAATCTTCAAGAGCAGCAGGCATCACTTACATATCAACGTGTACCATATTATAAAAACCCATCACAACAAAATAAATATGTCATTTAGCATAATAATACAGATGTGCCAAAAGTGCTAAATTGATGACTGGTGTTGTTGCAACAGGCTCAGGGCACTTCCACACGTCCTGTCTAAATTTCCTACCCGATGCATGAATATAAATGCACCACTTTTGTTTGTTAAAAAGTTATCAATGTGCACAAAACTTAATTAAGAGCCCATGATTTCTGGGACTAGCTTATTATTTTTGGTTAAAAAAAACGAACAAAAAACTGTTGTTTTGTCCATTGATATGCTCTATCCAGACACCGTCAAAGGGCACACTGTTAGCTTCATGTGCCTTAAATTCTGTGTAACCTTTTGCCATCTGAGTATTAATTGAATAATCGAAAAAAGAATCAACAGATCCATCTATTTACAAAATAATCACTAGTTGCAGCCCAATTTCAAGCTAAATTATAGTCAAATTATAACATCTTGTGAAAGATTTACTTTGCTGTAACTGGTGTACTCCAGAAATTTAAAGAAAAGGAGCGGACAGAGCAGTATCCTTAAAAAGTTAGACATTAGTTCAAATTAACAGTTGGGTACTGAAAACCGGGACACAAAGATTCAACAGAGCAATGATCCCAAACAAACTTCTAAACTGACTCAAAAAGGGCTGGTTATTATCAGCATTAGTGTTATCTAAAATAATATAGGCTATGTTTAAAGAAAGAAATCATCCATCCATTATCTGACACGCTTGTCCCGAGTGGGGTCGCGAGAGGTGCTGGTGCCTATCTCCAGCAGTCAATGGGCGAGAGGTGGGGTACACCCTGGACAGGCCGCCAGTAAAGAAAGAAACCTACAAATTAATATAAATCACCACGTCTGTCTGAGGGGGTTCACACCCATGCAGAACAGCAGTGGGGACAGTGCATCTCCTTGATACAGTATATGCCACATTAGATGAAGACTTGTGCAAGTTTCTTGTTTTCTACAACCTCTTTGAGTTTGCAATAAACGCCCTTAGAGTCCTGTTGAGGTTGTGTAGCTTCAAGCATTTAATGATCCAAGTGTGTGGCATTGAGTCATAAGTTTTCTTGTAATCAATCTAGGATGTGCTCAGGTTAGTGTTTCGGGTTCTGCAGTCTCGAGCGACTGTTCTGTCAACCAGGAGCTGGTATTTTTACCAACTCTCTTCGGAGCTGGTCTCATGTATTGATTCATGTGGCTGCTTGCCTTAGCCGCTCTGATGCCAGACATCAGCTTTGACGTTGTGGAGAGGCAGGTTATTGGTCGATAGTTGGATGGGACTGTACCCTTTGAGGGATCCTTCAGTATCAGGATTAGCCATTCAGGGTGGTTCCCATTTCTCAGCAGTTGGTTCATTTGCGCTGCCAAGCATTCATGGAGCTCCGTGAGTTTAAGCCAGTAGGCGTGTATCATGTCAGGACCTGGTGCTGTGCAGTTTTTCCTACCTGAGACTCTTTATATATATATATATATATATGACTTAGATTTAGACAAACTTTATTTTCATTTTGTGTACACAAAGTGCATAAAAAAACAAAATCTTGTTATTTATAGGTTACAACTGTGAAATGAACATTATAATGCAGCAGTGATCAGAATGTAAAAAGTGTAGGAGAAAAGGAAACTAGTTTAAATATAATGTGCAAAAAGGCATTCATATGGAAAGCTTCAGTGCGGTGCAAAATAAATATGATGCAAAATAAAGTATAACATTGAGATGTGCCCTATTTAAAAGGATTACAAATGTTTCAGCCACTTTGGTGGTGCAAAATAATGTTGCAAGTGGGATGCAGAGTCCAGTTTAGAGTTCAACAGTGCAACAGTCTGATGACAGCAGGGAAAAAGCTGTTACAGAGCCTGCTGGTCCTGCAGAGGATGCTGCAAAGTCTCTTCCCAGACGGCAGCAGGTAGAACAGTCCATGGTGGGGGTGTGAGGAGTCACTGATGATGTTATGGGCTTGGGACACGCAGCGCTGGGATGAAATGTCCTTAATGGAGGGCAGAGGAGCCCCAAAAATCCTCTCTGCTGTCCAAACCACTCTTCTCACGTTCCTCCACTCTCAGGTGCTGCAGCCTCCACACCACACAGTAAGACAGGAGGGCTTTCCTCATGCTCCGCAGGAAGTACAAGCACTTGTGTGCCCTCTTAACCAGTGAGGTGGTGCTTATAGATTATTTTGGGGCTATCTGTGATTTGCACCCCCAGGAATTCTATAAAAAGGACAGAATAATCACACAATCTTCTCCATGCAAAAAAGTAAAACCACTCACCTAAGTTATTATGTGCTTGATTTATAAACACTGTTTCATTTTAACCATCTTAATTTGACCCATTTAGAACTTTTTGATCATGCTAATATATTTAATGTAGTATATTTGTGTAATGTTCGTCTTCCTCACTGGGACTACCATGAATGATACAATGAATGTTCAATATGCCCTCCTTCATACAGTATACATAAATCATTTTTATATCACTGCAGATTCCAACACAACAGGCACAAAATGATGAAAGCTCTCTTTGTCTGAACCAAACGAAGAAGACAGTAAAACTTTGTACCAATGCTGCTCATAGTGAATCAGCTGGTCATCACAACTAAAACCTTTAACCAGTTACTTGTCTTTAAATAATGTTAGTAAAGCATGGCAACTGTAAGAAATAAGAAAACAAAATAAAAAGAAACAGAAGGAACAACTAACCCTTTGTTTTCTGTCTCAGGGGTTATTTCCGTGAAGCTTACTGATTTGAAACCTGCACATATTGATAGAACTGCTTTTCTTGGAAGTGCAGTGACCTGCAATTGTAATGTCTTGTCCTTCTCATCCTGGACGGTATCTACAAATTTCCCCCGTAAAGATTTGGCGTTAAAAATGGAAATATTAAGGGCACAAGGAGGTGCTATTGCTGCCTGCTCACTTGGGCATGAGATAATAAACATTGGGAGACTTTCATCTGAATGCTTTTCTCAGAAATCTTCTCCCACATGGATGAGCAGCGAACAAGTATGATACTTTGTACCAGCCAGGGTAGATTTCGCTCCCCCCTCTTAAAAACCACAAGACTTCTTTCCCTTATTCTCAGAGAGCATGTTTCAACTGCCTCGGGGCACTTTGACACGTCCTGTCTAAATTTCCTACCCAATGCATGAATATAAATGCACCACTTGTATTTTCTGTTTGATAAAAAGTTATCAATGTGCACAAAACATAATCAAGAGCCCATGATTCCTGGGACTAGCTTATTATTTTTAGCATTAAAAAAACAAAAAGGCGACAAACGAAAACAAACAAGTTATATTTTGCTGCTGATACCTGCCTTTCCACACAATCAGAAACAAATGACTATCCTCGCTCATGCATGCAACACACACTAGCTGGATCATTGATTCATTGTGCCATGAGAGATATGCATGATGGGGAGCTATCTGGAGGATGGGCCAATGTGCTGCTTGTAGCTTTCAGGCTCATTCTGTGCATTCCTGCTTCTGTGGAGCACTGGTAGCAGTGTATCAAGCATGAAAAGCTTCAGATGTTGGAGTTTAAAGAGCTGAGAATAAGATACTAAAACTAACTGGATTTATCACCGGCTGTACAGCTTCTATGTTTTTGATCTTCTGCAAAAAAAGAAGAAAAAAGATCAAGAAGACTTAACCTGTTGAGGGAAGGAGAATACAATTTCAGCAGAAGGTACAGTACAGTTAAAGTTGTTTTATTTTTGAAACCTAAAACCTTCTTTTGAGTATTGAGATTTTTTCCAGTGACAAATAAGAATTGTAGATGATGCATTTAAAAGCTATTGTAGCAAACATCCAATTAAGAAAAAGCAGCAGCATTGAGTAAATTACATTTCATAACTAAGCTATCCTTTTAAAATCATTTATTGAAAATCAATGCAACCCATCTGATTAAGCTTCCAAAAATAACTGTAAAAAGACATTACTGTGCATAGTGTAGATAATATCACATGTGTACTTGATTCCTGAAAATCTTTTCCAAGTCAATCAAATTACAATTGTTTATTTTCTAAAAGGGGCATTTGATTCAGTTAGTTAGCTCCAGCTGAGTCTTTAAAAATTAAAGAATCTAATATGTGTATGCACAGAACAGATTACAAAAGATCTAAATCATTGTAATGTATATACTTTATTTATCCAGGTAGAGTATCGCATTAAGATAAAGGGGAATTTTTCAGGTTGAATCCTTGTAAACATGGCACATCCTACATGTATCATCTACATTAGGTAAAATTTCTATTGATATTTATGCAAAATAAAAACAGCAGAAATAAAGATAATCCAGTTTTCTTATCTAACTAAGCCAAATCCAGATCAAATATGGACCAACTTGATACTGGCTAGACTTGACTGCATGGTTGGGTTGTAGGTTTGTTTTTCTACCAATAAAAGAGAATCTATACACTGTGAAACTACTTAAATGTTTGGCCAATACACAATGTGAAGTAATATAAACAAACAAGTCACAGGGCTAAAATACTTACCCATAACCTAGATTTTAAAAGAAGTTATACTTGAGCTGAAATAAAATATTTCTGTTTTTAAGTTCTGCATAAAAAAAAAAAACTCCAGGAAGATCTCTACTGACAAACAACTGAATTTTGCAAACATTTTATTTGAAATAGATGACAGCATAGCCCTTACTTCTTTGCAGATAAAAGGTCAGTGTTACAGTGTGTAAAAAAACGGTTGTAAATTTACCTATTAACACCTTTCACAGGTTCAATGAAAATTCTTCAGGATGTATCTTTGAAAATAACAATATGTGAAGGATGTCCGCTCCTTTCTACTCTCTCTCTCTTTAACCCAACAACCTGGGGTCACAGTTTCATCCAAAGGAGGCAAAACTAGCAGAAGCAAAATGCTTCTCTGAATAGGTAACACATGTAGGTTTTTGCACCAATGTGTGCAGACCCTTCCTTCTGCTGCCTCACACATATACGAAAAGACTTGTAATTATGTAGCCAGAAAATAAAGTTAGACAGACAGGCAGCTAGAGTCTAATCTATCAGATGCCAATGCTACTTTGGAGTTGAAGAACATGTGTTTATTTATTTCTCATCTCGCCTGCCAGAGACGGTGCTGCAATGTGAAAAGAGTAATATCACCTGCTTTCTTAAATTAGAATTTCATGAGCCATATTTCACCATAAAGACGCTGACTGTGTCCCACTTTTCAGTGACATTAACCTTCAAGGTATTGAATTTGTGAGGAAGTAAGAGTTAATTCCGACTATCTCTGACTGGGAAAAGCTCAATGAGCACAGCAAGCATCTCCAACAGGTTCATGCACTGTGCTCCCTGTGCAGAAGGACCAACTGCTCTACATTTATGTCTACCATTACAGGTTTAAACTGTAACTCTATTCAAAAATATGATATTATTCTTATAGACTCATTGCTGTATGTACACATCGTTAGCTATAAGATACAGGACATTTTCCAGCTTACCCTAAACTAATGAAGCAGAAGTTTTCTGACTCCTCTCTAAAAGACCTATCAGTCACTCTGATTAGGAGTTTCTTTGTGCGTTACAAACAGAAATATCTTCTCTAGGACCAAATCAAAGAAAAATTCCCTTATAATCGCTTCCATGGTGTCAATTTAACCATTTTGTATTCAATAACAATTTATTTTTTAAATGGCTTCCACATTATAAAGACAAGCCACAGAGGGTAGGAAGTACTTTTAAATTGAACGCCACTAATTGTTGAAGCAAGCCGGGTCAGTAATGAACATCTCTGCTCTCATCAGAAAAAGCACTGCAGTCTCCACCTCTGCTCAACCTTTATCGTGATAATTACTCACCTGCCCCATTTTACTGTCTGGAAGCCTTATTAATTGATATTAAAATGTTCTGGCTTTCGCAATACCCTTGATTAAATAACCTATAACACCTGTAAATAATTACCACCGCTCCTTCCGTAAAGCTTAGTCATAATCTGTCATGGCATGTCAGCATAAGAGAGAGACTTTATGGAGGTTTTAAATATATACAAAAAAAAAATCATTTGTGATGAGTGTCCTGCATCAATTTCAATATGTGGTCTGCTGAAGAGAATCCAGAATTTACCAGAAATAGCCAGGATTGTACCTTTTCATGTCCATTCAAAAAAATGGGATTTATATAATAAAAATGCTAGAATATGTTATTAATAGAGTAATTTTATTAGTGCTTGAATTTATGGATGCCTAGTAGCTGGAATGTGTTCTATATCAACACAATAATATTCTTGTGTTAAGATGATGCCTTTTTTTTTTATCTTAACAGAGCTTATTTAATAGGCAATAGATGAGACACAATTACAAATGACTTTAATAATGAAAAAGAAATGGGGTTAGGATGTTGCTGCCCGACTGTGCATCATGCAGAATAATTTTTCCCTGGTGTCTGCAGGGAAAAAATGCTAAAGATCTTCAGCTAGTTAGTTTTTATCTATCTTCCTATTTTTCTCTCCTGGAATAACTCTGTGGTTCAGATGCATGCTGGGTCTAATTATGTTGTTTAAAAATAAAGCCCCCCTTTATATTAAGATTTCTTGACTCTTGAAATATACCAATCAAAACTATCTGATATTTGGCACTTTTTATAGATTTGTTCACATCACAAAATATGAAAAACATCCTTGTTGAAACTGATGTAAAATGTCCTAAAAGCATGACACTGCCACTGCCATGTTTTAGTGTAGGCTTTCTGCTCTTACACTGAAGTATCAGAGCCAATCATGCCTGTTTGTTTTGACTTCCGTCATCCTCTGGATATTTCATCCAGCTATTAATCTGTACTTTGAAAGAAAAGGCTCTCTGGCCTCAGCCTAACATTTTAGTCCAGACATGCAATCATCACAGGGCATATTTTTCCAATTTGGCATTTAATCTGTACATTCCAGAAACAGCTCCTGTGTTAAAAATATGATCATATTTGCGAAAAAGTATATATACTTTTTAAGATTTTACTCTTCTTGTCTTAGACATTTGTTTAATGTTTTGATTCTTTATAACATCTCTTAAAATTTGCTTCCCTGCCAGTTTTTTTAACCTTATTTCAGGTTAATTGGATTCACTGTAACAGACGTTGGATGATGAACCCTATGATGCAGAAGCTGGGCTCTACCATTTTATATGTCTGTGAATTTAACAATGGGGTTTACTATGATTTCTTCAAATTTATAAATTTTGGACATTTTGGAATTTCCTGTTTTCCAAAGTGGAATTTCACTGTTCGTGTGAACCAACAAGGCACATGTTCAACGTTTTCCCAGTAACAAAGAGAACATTTCATATGACCATGAGGAAAGCACCTCATGAAAAACTTTGTTGCACAATGCAAGAGTTCAGTAGGTTATGTGGGAAAAAAGAAATCTGCAGGACTTTCAGGCTTTTCAAATGTTTAAAAAAAATCTGTTTGTTTGTATCATAGGTATGGATGTAGAACCCGGATTTTACCGGCATGTGGACGTCCCCGACCATGTTCACTACATTGTCGCCTTCTTCGTCTTAGTGATTGGAACAGTGGGAGTCACTGGAAATGCCTTGGTCATGTATGCTTTTTCCTGGTAAGTATGTTGATTCACTTCTTTACTTATAAAGAAAATATTTATTTATCTATACTGATTTTTCTATTCTACATCAGTGATTAAAAAGTTGTACAGTGCCTTTTATTAAATCTTAATAAAAAACTTAATTACAAATGTCTACAATAATATATAATTTTTGAGATTTTTAAGACTTTATTTCAGCTGTGTTTCCTAAGAGTAGAATGATCACATATTAAATACTTTTAATGAATTGTAGAACTAAGAAACTAGTTAAACAATGTGAATTTATTGGATATTTAATTGCAATTGGTTAAAAGTTTAAAACATACAAGCTAAAACATAAATAAAAATGAATCCAACACCTTTGGCTAATACAATGTTTTAACACATTCACATATAGGGATATGTAAAATAAACATTAAAATACAAATAAATGTGATGTAATCTCAACACAACTTTAAAAAGTTTTATATAAAAAAGTGATGAGGAATTAATTAGGTCACCCCATTTTTCTATATACAAATAAAATTACTAAAACCACACACAGGACTATCACATCAATGATATATGAAAAAAATAAAAGAAAGTTGGCCTCTCAGCATTTTGGAAGAGCTTAGTCTGGTGTGCACCAGTGAACACCAGTAAGGTGCTGTTTGATGTCTGCAGAGCAAAGATTTGAGCAGCTTAAGAGTCTGGAAAGGGTTTTAAAGAGGTGTCAAAAGAACTGTAAATCTGCCATTCCACAGTAGGGAAAATAGTGTACAAATTAGAGTCATTCAGAACAACCAGCACCATGCCTGGGTCTGCTAGTCTGAACGGGTTAGCCATGAAAGCAGACCACGAGAGGGTAAAGAAAATCTCCAAAAACCTTACATTTCATTACTCTTTCAACTTTTGATGTAAAGGTGCATGCCTGTAACAGAAAGAGACTAACCTTGTTAAGCTGCATTAAAGGTTGGCAAGAAACACACTATTGCTCTCTAAGACTAACAATAATTTCTGGAATAATTTTCATAGGACAGAATAGTTTAAAGTTGAATTTCTTGGACATTAGAGCAGAGGGTATGTTTGCCATGAAACACCACTGTAACAGAAGAAGAGCCTAATACTGTACCAACTGGGAAGTCACATTGCTGCAGCTGTCCAGCTCATCATATTAGCTATGCCTTCTCATATGGGTTAGAGGTCTCCTGTAGAATAAAAAATAAATAAATAAAGTGAAATAAATATTCCTGCTAATTCTACTTTTTTGGGGGGAAACAAAAACACATTTATATACAGTTTACTATATAATATACCAACTGAAGCACCAAAATCCTGGTGCCTGACATCTCTCTTGCAACAGCTGGTGATGCATGTCTCCTTCAAATGATGCATCACTCAATTGCATCTCATGTCACACTTGTTTAGTACACACAAAATCACTCTATCCTATCTGCCTGAGCCGTGTTTACCACTATTGATATTTCATCTCGGTGAGTGGGCATCTAAGTCGGCACAGATAGAAAAACAAAGTATGTAAAAAATAAATATTAGATGTCAACAAATCTGTGTCTAAAATGTATATATGCTAGGCAAGTATAGGGAGTGCCTATTTATCAGATTTTAAGCTATCTCACAAAAGCTGTTCTATAAAAATACTACAATAAAAATATCTGCCAAATCAAAGCCAAAAGCCCTTTTAAAAAGGGAAGAATTTAAGTACTGATATAAATTATTGATGGTCAAGGGCAGCTTGTATGTTTTTAAGTTGTCTTCAAAAAGGGTTTCTCTATTTTTCTTTGTCAAAGTGACAGTTTGTTTTTCCACTATCAGTCTAGCCCCAGCAATTATTTATCCTATACATGTGTTAATAAAAGCCTGTTGCCCTTAAAAGTCAAAGAATGTGTCCAAGGACTGTGGCTACAAATGATAAACGATGTTGATTTCTTAGAAGAGGAAAAATATTCTGTTAAACAAATTCCTCTAATCAAAAGGCTGTGTCACCTTTGTTTTTACATATTTTACCACTATCAGATCAGTTCCTGTTTCTTTATCGTAAAAATGTGTTTAAATATGTTTAACCTTACTTACATATCAAAGAAATATGCAGTCAATATAAGGGTAAATTTCTTACGTATAGCATGTTTGATCAAACATTGCAGAGATTTGCCACTGATTTTAAAAATGCATTCAAAGAAGAATGTATCTATATATACTTATAATGAATCCAATGATTTATTATTGAGAAGATTGAGCTTTTCTGCAACAAACACACCAGATGAGAATAATTTTAAAAGATCTATGATGCTGTGTGCCTGTCTCATTTTCTAGAATATCTCTGTGAACTTCTTTTTAAAGATTCTGTGGTAATGTGGCTTTTATTCATAATGATCCAACAGGAAAGGAGGATTGAAAAAATGAGGCATATGTAACTAAAGTAAAATGAAGTTCTTACATGGAAAGGTGAAGGTTCCTTTCCAGCTTTCTGTCACATGTTGATGTGCCCATGGGAGGCACTTAACCACAAATTTCCAACCGATCTGCATATCAACATATGTATTGATGGGTGACTGTGGCCCTAATGTAAAGTGCTTTCAGTGGTTAGTATGACTAGAGCAGTGCTATATAAATCCAAACCCTTTACCTGCTACCTTGAGGGCTAACATCCCCTTCCACAACCCTATGCTCAATCCTTAAGCTTATTATGATTTAAAAGTCCATGCCATCATGAACATGTTGAAAGTCTGAAAAAATGCACAAATAGCTGATCCAAATGAATGCTTTTAAACCAGTTATATACTGTCTACCATCTAAAACATCTGACGCCATTTCTTCATATACTTCAGCTCATCTTGTATATGATGCAGCATTAATCTAAAACAGCATATATAAAGGAATTAATAATTTAGAGTTTCATTGTTTAAAATCATATTCCATCTTTAATAGTTCTAATGTCTTATTCTAATTAGTAAATGGCATGTACTTATTTAGCGCCAAGTCAGGAGACTTGAACAACAAAAGCGCTTTACACTAAATTCATTCACACACACACTCACACACTGATGGTGGCAAACTACATTGTAGCCACAGCTGCCCTGGGGCTCACTGACAGAAGCGGGGCCGCCGTACACTGGCACCACCGGGCCCTCTGACCACCATCAGTAGACAATGCAGGTGAAGTGTCTTGCCCAAGGACACAACGACAATGAAAGTCAGAGCCGGGGCTTGAACAGTCAACCCTTGGATTTCAGGGCAAACTCCGACATCCAACTCCACTGTCGCCCCTATAAGTGCTTATATCTATAGCCATTTTTAAGTTCATAATTTCTCATCTACATTTTATGTCAAAATATTTAACACTAATCTCTTTCAGTGACAAGAAACTTCGAACACCTCCCAACTTCTTCATCATGAACCTGGCCATCAGTGACTTCTTAATGGCAATCACACAGTCACCGATCTTTTTCGTTAACTCTCTCTATAAAGGGTGGATTTTTGGAGAAACAGGTATAATTTTCCTTATTTTCAACAATGATGTAAATCGTACGAACAGGATATCTTATATGAAAAAAGCTTTAAATGCATAAGCGGATTTTTTGCAGATGAGTAAAATGTGACCTTTCGCCTGCACCTTCTATATTAATCCCCTACAGGGTGTAAATTGTATGCCTTCTGTGGGGCTTTATTTGGAATCACCTCCATGATAAACCTCCTGGCCATTTCTATAGACCGCTACATAGTCATCACCAAGCCATTGCAGTCCATGGTCTGGACTTCATCAAGACGAACCTTCCTCATAATTGCTCTGGTTTGGCTTTATTCACTTGCCTGGAGCCTTGCACCACTTTTAGGGTGGAGTAAGTAGCTTCATCAAGCAGTATTTTCAGATACTCTTTACTTTTTCTAATTTGCACGTTCTTCATACTAAATTTCTTTCCAAAGGTTCCTACATACCTGAAGGCCTGATGACCTCTTGTACATGGGACTATGTGACATCTACTCCGGCCAATAAAAGTTACACTTTGATGTTATGCTGTTTCGTATTCTTCATCCCTCTGGGCATCATATCCTATTGTTACTTGTGCATGTTCCTGGCAATCCGCCATGCAAGCAGGTACAAGCACCCTTTAATCTAACACCCATTAATCCCTAAAAAGATTTCCAGATCAGTTTTGTTATCTGAAATTTCACCACAAATTTTGTACCGGTAATTGCAAATTTGTCTTTTGTGGGTTTGCCGCTAATAGCATTGCACGTCTTCAATCATTTCTGCATGTTCTTTGCAAAATAGCTGATAAAAGATTTGTCTGACTGGATAAACAACCTAAGATTTCAAGTTTTCCATAATAATTCTAATTATATTATCTGGATGGGTTTTTAGAGTCACTGTCCAACAGGGAGATGTACTTTCATTCCTGACTTAAACTTTTGCAGCTTCTAAACACTTTTCTTCTATTATTGACCTGAATTTAGCTCTATCCGTCTTTCCTATTGTCAGCTTCCCTGAGCTTGCTAATTCAAAGCCTTCCCATGGGACAATTTTATCACATCAAGCTGTCACCATAGGGAGGATTTGCTCAGCTTTTCATGCCAGCCAAAACATTAGGTTTGGGTCTCAGCAGAGCAGACGACCTTTTCCCGAATGTTTTTTGTAACCCCTCCTTGGCTTGTGGAAAACAATAAATATCTTAGGAGTTTTTATTATTTTTTTTGTACCACAGCTTTTGTGCTCTTATATTTAGGACTATATCTCAGCCTTAATTTCCCTATCATTTACATTCTAAAGGCCTTTTTTTGCTACTGTGTTCTGTTTAGATGTGTTGGGAGATTTGCTTTTTTTATTTTTCAGAAACCAAGTGTCATACAGTAGTTGGTATGTGCCATATAACCCGAGAAACACAGAGAACTTCTGTTTTAACAGGACAAAATGTATAAACACCTAGCATGAAAGTGTAAAGCTAAAAACAACTGGAGCTGAGACAGTTATGCTGTTGGGAAAATGTCAAGAGAAGAACAATAAACATCTCTAAAGCTTTCTCTTAAAGAAATGCATCTTTAAAAGATTAGATATTCTTTTTGAGGCATTTTTTGAGGAATACCACAGTGCAATAATTGTGTCATTTATTTCTTAAAACTGGAAATATAGAATAGATTTATTTAAAAATGTCCTGTTCCTTTGCTGAAGTGCAACACAAATTTATTCAAACTGCCACACATCATCAAAGTCAAGAAGGTGGCACAAGGGCTGCGTATGGAAACTGTGACATTTAATTGGATACTTCTCACTAAGCAAGATAATACAACATTTTCTGTTTTTCTTTTATTCTAAAATCAACAGAAGTTCTGAAAAAGTTGTAAATAATTTTCTAAATGTCTAGTAATTTATTTACAGCACACTGGGTGGGCAACTATGGCTTCTATATCCCTAGTTTGGTCTCTGAAAAATTAATGAGAGGATGTGAGGCAGTGTTAGACAGTGGGCGGGGCTAACTTTGATTCTGCTGAAGCTTATTGCAGCTCCCTCTATGCTAGAAGATATAGTACTCTAGCAAGCTAATTAGATATATTTCTGATCAAATTAGGGATGTAGAGGCTGGAGCTGCTCCCCCAATATGCTGTAAATTCATTGCAACACACTTTTTAGTGTATTTCTTCCTTTTTCAGAGATATTTATGACTTTACAGAAAACCAGGAATAAGATATCTAATGTTGGTCAGTTGCAAGCAATCAGACGGCAGGGTTTCTATGGAAATGACCTTAGTCCCGCCTCCCTGACTGCAATTAGTTAACAGTTTAAATAAATAAATTATTATCATTTATTATTTCCAGTTTTAGAAATTAATAACACATTGAAATCTTTTTTTCATAAGTTATTTACTTATTGCATTTTCAGACATTCTCAATATTTTGACACATACCTTCCAGGATGGCAAATAAATAAATGACATTTGCTTGGTATTGTCATTCTACTTAACATTTTTATTTATAAGATTTTTATATTGTCTCATATGTTTATTTGATTTTGTGGATTTTTTTTTTTTATCTGCACCTTTCCACTTTTTGCAATCAGAGATGTGGAGCGATTGGGGTCCCAGGTGAGAAAGTCAACCCTGATCCAACAGCAGTCTATCAGGACTGAATGGAAGTTAGCAAAAATTGCCTTTGTGGTCATCATAGTGTTTGTACTCTCCTGGTCACCCTATGCATGTGTCACCCTCACCGCCTGGGCTGGGTAAATATACAACTTTTATCTTTATAGCAAATTAATATTTTTTTTAAGATCATTTTGATTCACTTTGGTCATTAATCATGACCCCCTTTTGATCTGAATGGAATATCAGTGCCTATAAATGATGTAATATTATCTGTCTGTAAATGCTTTAACATTTTTCTCCACACCCTGCCTTTCAGATATGCACACATTCTTAACCCATACTCCAAAGCTGTCCCTGCTGTTATAGCAAAGGCATCTGCCATCTACAACCCTTTCATATACGCCATCACTCACTCGAAATACAGGTGAGGACAGATTTCTGACTAACTGCTAACTAAATGTTAAAATAGAAAGAATGTCATTTCAGCCAATAATCAGAAATATTTCAAAAGGGACATCCTGGCAGAGAGGGTCCCCTGTCTTCACTTCCTGGTCCACGCCCCTAAGAGGAACTGCATATCAGTGTCAAACACCAAGTGCTTTATCAAGGACTCTGGGTTTAACCGGCAGTCTTCAGCCTCCAAATCAGAGTCCCAGAGAGTTTCCTCCATGTCTACAACAGACACAGTGAGTATCAGCGCTCCCTGTAGGTTTCAGAAAGGCAAAATAGAGACATGTTCTGCATGCATTGACAAAAAACAAAATATATTAACTAACTTTACCAAAAAAGCTAAAAGTTTAATAGCTTTAGAGGTAAAATAAAAATAAAAATTACAAAAAAAAATATATATGTATAATGAATAAAAAAATACCTGTAATTACTTTAGAAACACTAATACTTTATCTGATGTGGACTGTTATTAATAAAATAAAAGTCCTTGGGTTTCATTTAGTATAAAACCATAATGCACACTGTAGAAAATGACACAAATGCATCCATTTTCTGCTGGGTTTAATTGTTTTCCTGAGGAAGACACAGATAGTATCGAATTGTTTATAAAGTTTGAAACGTAAAGCTATCCAACATCAGATAGCTTTATTTTAATTTACAGTCTGTTGTTTGCAAATTACATTAAACTGACATTAAATTAAAGAATTACTGTGACTGGTGATACTTGTATTGTGTTGTAAATCATTTTGAGGCTGACTGTTAGTCTTTCTCTGTGGTCTTTCCCAACTCCTCGAAGGCCTGCATTTTTGCCTCTGCTACCAACCCAGGCAGCAGCACGCTTACCATAATGATATCAGCTTGTTGTGTCCCACAGGACAACCTGGCTTGATAGGATACTTTAGCCTTTTTCCCACTGGAAATACTGGGTTAACATGTTTTTTATAAAACATGGTAGACTGGTAAACAAAGTTATATG